GAAGGAGAAATGACATGTACATTCTATATAGTTAGATGGATTAGATGACCTGGTAGAAGCACATCTTTTCCAGCACAGGTAGCTTCAAGAACCTGCAGCATTAGCTATCATAGTGTTATGAATCAGTGTTTCCAATACTGCAGTGGAATTCCTAGAGTTGTACTTTCAAGAGGCAGTAATAACAAAATGTTGGCAGCAGCCATGAGTAGCTAACAGTTTAGGATGGTATATAGCGTGTTTCAGAATACCCACAGCTTTTGGTATGCCAATTCATGGGTTTTTTGGGAGTGGATATGAGACTGTTTTAAATTGTTAATTGTCACAGCTGGGTTAGAAAGTACTAACTCAATAAGCAAATGAAAAGAAGGACTTATGTAATTTTGATACTGTATTTGTGCTACTGTGCAGCTTTGCCCACTTGCAGATGCAGACTTGTGAATTATGGAAATGACAATGCTGTTTCAGTTTTCCAAGATTCTCTAAATATATTTAGCGAATTGCACCTCCAGAAATACTTTTAATGGCAGTCTCAAAGGAGGCATTCAGCTTGAATATGTTCAGTGATTTGGAACTGTACTTTTAACTGAGCAAAATCTTTTCAGAATATTATTTACATGACTATAACATGAAGGAAAATTATGAAACAAAAATAGATTAATTAAGTCTGAAGCATTTGGTTGCGTAGTTTCAACTGGTGCAAATAAGTGTAGGTGCATCAAAGTGAGCATAGCTATATAGATTTAACTTATTTTTTGGTACAAAGTTCATACTCAAAAGTAGGGAATAATGATATTAATTAGAATCCTGAAAAGTAATGAACAATATTTCGGACACAAGATAAGTTTATGTATTAACTCTGAGCAACTTTGACTTGAAAATTTAATAAAAATATAATTGAAAAACTTCATAATATTCTCTATTACATGTCAAAAATGTTTTAAAGTTGACTGTTTCTGGGTAAATCTTGCTTTTACATGTAGTGGCTGGTAAAACAATAATAACCGTATGGAGCCCTTTATGCTAGCTCCTTCCTGGTGTAAAGTCTCAGTGAACTATTTCATTTTGTCAGAAAATACGATTAACTAAGGCATCAGAAACAACTAGAAACAATGTTTCTTTGTATGTGTTTTTCAGATTAATGATTTTTTTTCTAGATTATTGCCCTGATAGTGAAGTACTTTGCTAATATCTTGAAGGAAAAAAAAAAGTCATTTTGCATTGAATCACATATCATTGTTGGGTCCTATTAGCGTTCATTGATTCAAACTAATGTAGAGGAGCAAGGCCAGGTTGGACAGAGCCTTGGGCAACATGGTCTAGTGTGAAGCATCCCTGCCCATGGCAGTGAGGTTGGAACTAGATGATCTGAAAGTCCTTTCCAACCCAAACCATTGTGTTACACGCAACATTCAACTACTCAGAAGTAACAAGATTTTTGCATTGATCACTTTGTATAGATTGCTTCATTCTAAAGTAAATAACCATATAGTAGTTGTTCTCTGCAAACACTTGAACATCATTTATAGGAAGGTATGCAGTTAAGAACATTTAGTGTAACTTCACCATAACTTTATAGTGAAATAAATTTAGAAATAGGTCGTTCATAGTATGGGCTTTCTGACAGTAAGTGTTGGAAAATATGAGTGAAAGTTGAAAATCTGGACATTGAATAACATCTCTAGTGGTGAAATTCTGATGGCCTTTTTGTCACAAATCATTAGTGGTTATTGTCAATACTCACTCTCAGTATGGATGTCAGGATCAGAAAATCATCTGCAACTGCCAATATCTGGCTTATTTTTTAAAATTTTTGTTTGGGCTCTTACATCGCTGGTATTAACTGTAAAGTCATTTCTGTCTGAGAAATGAAGGTACATCAGCTATTGATCTAAGCCAAGAAAAAAACAGCAGGGGGTTCTTGCACATTTTGCCCGTGATTCTGACCCCACCCAGTTAGCAGCAGATTTTTGTATCACAGATATTCTGACCAGTCTCTTTTCTCTCTTCTGTGACCAATCTTTTTTTTCCTAGGCATGCATGCATCAAAAGTGAAAATACCAAAATGACCAGTTTTCATATTCTACACATAGGGGTTAGAGCCTGAGTTTGTTTGCTTTGTATGCTTCATCTCTCAATGATGTGGAGAGAAGGAAAGAGGAACTGTGGCAGGACAATACAAATGCTGGGATTAACAGCAATCCTTAGAGTAAAGTAGAAGTAACTTTTGAGGGTGGGGAATAGTGCAATTATTAAGGATTTTTTTCTTTTTCTTTTTTTTTTTTTTTATTTAAATAAGAAAGAGCTATTATTAAACTTAGGAAAAATCTAAGCGTCCAAAGTTCTCTAGAACAGTCACTTAGAGCTTTGAATACCTTTCCAAATGTACCATCTACATGAGTTACCAATGAGCATTTCTGTCTAACAGGAGATAAAGGTGGCGCTTTCTGAAAACTGATAAAAGCTGTTCTGAGGAAGAGGTATGACCTGCATCCCTCAAAGCAGTGTTTAACTGCCTACATTATTTGACATCCAAAGAACAAAGGTTTGCAAAAAAGAGACTGATAAGGTACTAATACCTGCATGTAGGCTACATCTTCTGAGAGTGTGCCAGAATTTGTCTGGGAGAAGGCAGAAGACAGACAATATAGATTGCTGTATTTTTCATCAGGTGGTTTGTACCATCTGTGTATATTTTACATGTGCCTTTTGAGAGGCAAGCAGTGCAACTCAGATCCCTTCAGGCTTTGTTCTCTGCCTCTACACCTACCATTTGGCATAAGATGTAGTCAGTAGAAGAAAACTGTGGTTGTTGGGACTTTTTTCTTGTCTTAGTTGCAACAGCTGCAAAACAGATGTAGGCTTACATGAATTCTGCCAAAAATCTCTTCCAAGTCTCCCACCCATTTGCTACCAAAGAGAAGCTAGTCAGGTGATATGAACAGAGACCTTAAGTTCAGAAAGAGATGGGACCTCCCAATCCTGGTAGTCAGGTGATACAAACAGAGACCTTAAGTTCAGAGAAGAGATGGGAGCTCCCAATCCTGGCTCAAAGGCTTTTAAAAAGAAAAAGTCAGAAAACTTAGTTTTACCACTTTGGAATTTAAACCAGCCACAATTTCTAAAATTACTATTCCAAGTAGTATGATGTCAATGGGAAATAAAAGGCAATCTGTTCATGAACCAGAGCAACATTGCTGCAGAGAAAATCAGATGACAGCAGTCGTTCATAACTGGCGTTCACCTAATAGGCATCCAAGTCTCTTTTTAGATAATTTTCAATATCTCAAATGCCTCAAGTAGAATACCATTATCTTGCTGGCCAGATATTTGCTGAAACAGATTTATTAGGATTCGGTTCTGTTGGATGGACCTCAGTATTAAGAGGCGGTTAGCTTTCTATGTACCTGCCTCAGGTTTCTGTGTACCTCTCCAACTTCTGCTTTCAGCAATATTGGAACATATCATGTGTACCTTGACTATTAAAAATGCATTCAATGACATTCATAACAAATAAATGAAAATCCGAAACTTTTCCACTGTGTCAGTCTGTTGCTGAAATCATACTGCTGACAAAACTGTGGCTGCCAGGCACTTACAATCCAGTGTTGATTTAAAGGTAGAAAAATGGTACTCATGCAGCTACATTTCCCTTTCCTTACATCAGTATCCCAGGAACCTGGAATTCAGATGCTAACTGCATTTGTAAATTGGGAGCTAACAACCATGAGTATTAACCTGAATGACTTGGCTCCTTATGATTTTACTGGCTGTACAGCAATTTCGTTTTCCTCATGGAACCATCTTCTTGCTGAAAAATTGATAGTGTTACAAGTCTTAGTCACTTAGTATCCTCCTGAGAGAAGCTTGGATGGGTCCTCCTGAGAGACGCTTGGATAGCTGTTCCTGAACATTTTCCCTTTGACCATTCATGATAGCGGTAGCTATCAAGGTTTTACACCCTTGAACCCACTTTCCATTGCATTTCCAGGCTTACGTCTTCATTGCTAGTACTAAATTTTCAATCTGGAGTCAGTGTCCTCTATAGGTGCTAATGCTTATCTAAGGTCAGAACCTTTAGTTTGGAAACCAGTGAGCCATGGATCTTACAGCAAGTACCGGCATGGGAAGACTTCTTGGCTCATGGCCTCATGCAGACACAGGTTTACCAAGACAGTTAGGAGGACTTTAGCAATGACTTTCATGAAATATTTTAATGTGTTGTACTGCAGATAAGGAGTATCAGCACTCACCTGCTTTCAAACATGTATGAAACATACGTCTGGTGGTATAAGGACAGAAAGTCTGAATGCTAAGAAAATGTTTTATCTCTATTCAGTGATTCACTGGAATGCTGATATAGGAATTTAAGTATTTAAGTTCAGGTCATCTACATAGTATTTGGGCCATATAATGAGATGGCAGATAAGGAAATTTCAAGGAAGAAAGGTAATGTCCGTGTCCCTCCAGTGGAAAAACATGGAGAGAAGTTATAGTGACTCTAGTTTGCCAACTAATATGAAGGAAGAAATGTGAACTTCTAGATTCAAGGTGGTTTTGATCTGTAAAGTTTTCTGGTTCAGTTGGATAATAGACCTTGGCCCAACACTGTAGTCAATGGGTATGCCATCTAATGGGGTGTATCCAAGATAGTCCTACTCCAGCTGTGGCTGAGCAACTTCAAGATCAGTCAACAACTTTGGTGGATACCCTCACTCATACAACCAGCAGAATGCTCCATGTTTGAAATAAAGTTCTTTGTGTCATGTCCGCAAAATTTAAGAGGTTTGGTGATTTGAAGCCATTAGCTTAAAACCATTTAAAATTAATGACTGTAGCACTGAGTCAAGCATCAACAGTTCTCATTAAAAAAAAAAAAAGAGGTTCCCTTCCAAGCAAGAGCGCGACTGACAAAAAATGAAAACATTTTATACCTTTATAAAAGTAGACAGTTGACGGTATTTTTGAAACCAGACTCACTGGCTAGTTGGACAGTCTCAGGCATGTCGATGATTCATCTCACAGAGTCCCAGGGAATGGTTTCTTGTGAGCCTGCTCATTTGGATGTTGATGCAGGTTTCTATTTAAATCAGCAGCTGAAGTGTGAATTAATCTGTGACATTTTTAAGATGGTTCATGAGGCCAGAATTTGATTAATGATACTCCTACTGATCTCCTGCTAATTTTGGATTTATAGGTGTTGTATCATACCCAAACTTATAAATGTCTGGTCTTTTTTTTTTTTTTTTTAACTTTCCACTCTTTCTCTATTTTCTTTCTTTTTTTTTTTCCCCCTCAGTTTCTTTTTTTCATTTAATTAAACAGACTTCACTGGCAGTAACAGAATGACTGTCACTGAGTTCAGTAGTTGATCTCAGGACCAAATGTACCTGTTTCTGAGAGTGAAAGGAATAAGAGGGGTGGTAATGAAACTTTCAGCAAAGCTCCTCTGATTTTGGCCAAAGTATTCCTTAAGTAGTGAGCTGTAGTGGTAGAAAATTTCCTATACTTACACCAGCTGTGGCATAACCTCCCTGCCTGTGCTGTGGCATAAGTAAGAGAAGATCCATTATCACATGGGACGTACTTACCAATTTCTTTTTGATGTGTGTTGAAATATGGTGCTTTGTCTGTTTCCTTTCCCTGAAAGTGTAACTGGACTAAACTTTAAAATGTATTCTTTGAAACAGAGCTTTGGCTTAAGTGCTTTGGCACTTTGAAATAGTGCTTTGGCTTAAGCTTCACTAATACTAGTGAAGTGATAAGAGAGAGATTCTTGAAGTATTACTCATTAACACACTAATCAAATGATACCCATCCTGTACTGGTTGGATGCACTGAGAGTTGCCAGAAGTGGGAAGATTTGAAGCTCTGCAGAAATTTGACAGAGAACTGCTAGGAAATGAAACACTGCAAGGTTTTAAGCTGAAGTCCGACATCTGTGAATGAAAGCAGCAGCTCACATCAGTCAGAATTACTGCTGCTTTCCTGATTTACAGTGAAGAATCCATGGGTATGAAAGCTAGGGTATGTTTCTGAGAAAGAAGGTTTGAAGAATGTAACTTAAGCATGTTGCTATCTTTGGGCTTACTGCATTTCCTATTTAGCCATACACTTATCATTAATTCCACTTTTTCTTTTCCTTTTTTTTTTTTTTTTTCAGATTCCCAAGAAGGAAACTACAAGTCAGAGGTCAACAGTAAACCCAGGAAGGAAAGGACAGCTTTCACCAAGGAGCAAATCAGAGAGCTAGAAGCAGAATTTGCTCATCATAACTATTTGACCAGGCTGAGGCGATATGAGATAGCAGTAAACCTTGACCTCACCGAAAGACAGGTACTAATACAGAATAATGGACTTTAAATGCTTGCCCAATATTTAGCAGTGGTAGCTCTTCACAGTAGAGCACTTATTTATGTTACTAATAGGTATGCTGGTATATCAGATCGAATGTTTATAGCAAAATGTTATAAACGTATTATGTGTCTGCTATGCAAGTAATTTATATTTTCATATGTACCAGCTACTGATTAGTTTCATCTAGTAGGCAAAGATGGAAGATAAAAGCATGAGTAATATGTCTGTTTAACTGGTGCACATCTTTTCTAATCTGTCCACACTGATGTGGCTGAAGTGGTAGGTCCCAAATACTGCATGCACAAGCAGTTGATTTTCCTGCACGCAACATATATGAGCATCTTGGTTTAGTCTATTAAATATATGCAGTTGCCGTTTGTCCAGAGTTTCTGAACATCCTGTTTCCAGATGGCAGTAAGAATGGGAACATCAGCAAAACTGGAATACAGCATTTTTAACCACTTTATCTTACCCTGTGCTGTGAAAGCAGAGGAGATGATGGAATTTCTTACCACTGTTACTGGTTTCCTGCTCACCAAACCCTGGTTCGGGAAACACTTTTGCACGTGCTCAAGTTTCATCATGCATGCTGTCGCATAGGCTTCTAATGGAAAAATTAATGTTAGGCATGTACTGAACTGTTTCAGGATCTCATCCCTACACATTGAATAGGTAATAAAGTCACATTTCAAATAATAATTACACCAACATACAGATTTCAAATATGTGTTTTAATAAAGACATTTAGAATACTGGGCTCAAGTACACCAAATCTGATGACATATTACCAACAGTTTTATCATTAAAATTGAAAGCTTTTTGCCCACTGATAGACAGTTACCCTATTTTTGTGACTCAATATTAGATTGAGGGATGGCTTTAGATATAATTAGTAAGATCATAGAATGATGATGGTAGAAGGTATTGCTGTATCTGAAGATATATTCAAGGGAAGGTATAAAAATAGCACTGTGATTTGTGAACTCTAGATATGAGAAGTTTTGCAATTTTCTTGCGTTTCATTAACACCGACTATAAGTAAATATCTCAGTGAAAATCAGCCTTTTCTATACACATGAACACACATTTACTCACAAAAGCAAATGAAACAGTTTTTTCCTTTGAAGACTTCTAAAACGTGGCTATCCATTCCAGCTGGTCAAGAAGCAGCCAGTAATTTCTCGTTTTACTTCAACAAGTTGCCAGGTTCCAATGCAGTAATTTTCAGTTACTTAAATGTGTTACATTTGTAAAGCACATCATTTTGTATCAAACAATTGATAAAATTTTGCCTTTTTCATTTCCACTGACTAGGGTAATCTGAGACAATTAGATTAACTTCCACACCTCATTTTGACAGCTAAGGGGAGGACGAATGAATTATTATCTCAGTGACAAAGCATACATTTAAAAAAAAAAAAATCTGCCTGTCATTTGATGTGGATCAGTCAGCAGAATTCAGAAAACATATCCCCATATTTAATAATGATGAATTTGGCCTGGAATTTAACTATTCCCCTGATAAATTCTTTACTCTGTTCTTCAAAGAAGAAAAGTAGTACAGTAGTACAACTAAATGAAGACACAGTTCACTATGCTAAAAGAAGCACTTAAACAACATTTAAGGTACTGAAAAGGGACAGGTAAATATCAAATATTGTCTCCGGAGGAGAAAAGGCAGCCCATGCTACGCAGGTGCAAAGAAGTCATTTAAGTCATGTGAGCACTTGCTGTTTTCTAGCTGTCACGTAATGTCAGTTCTAAGCATTCTGCTGATAATTGTGATAATTTCTATAGAATTATAATTAGTCTAATTATGTAATCTAATTCTTCTCTGCTTCCCCAGATTATCATTGACAACTGAGCTGCTAGAGATAACTCCCTTCCTTCCTTCCTTCCTGCTTTCCTTCCTGCTTTCCTTCCTGCTTAAAGCCACCCTTACTTAGTAAAGGAAAGCATTAAGATTTCTAGCTTGATAAAGTCCAATTCTGTATCTTACTGCAATAAAACGGTCTGACAGAAAAAAAGAAAAAAAGACATAAAACCTGCATTGTTAATCGAAAACACAAAGAAAATGATGAGGAAATTCTGGACATATTTTTCAGTTTCTGAGTCATACTAACGCAAGTCATGATGTCACTTCCAATGCTGTCAATTAGAAACGCCTCTTTTTTAAAATCAAATATATTGCTTTGATGGAAAAAGGGTGTAAATAGGCATGGATCTGGGTGTGGGTTTCCTTGGTATATGGCAGTCTTCAGAAGCTGAATGCAGTAAATCAAAAGGCTTGACTCTTCTTGCATTGCAGAGAATGGTACCTGATAGTCAGTAGTTCCTTTGTTAGAATAAGTGAACATAGAAGTGATAACCTCAATATCATCACTGTCTTGATCTCTCATGAAATACTGAATTTGCACACAGAAAACTGAAACTTGCTTCAGATAATACAATGACAATAAACAGCAATGGGTGTTGGGTGAACTAACATACTTGCTCAAAAAATAGGTTTGAGAGCAGACCTAACCCTGATGGAATTACTTGTTTCGCATAATTGTTTTTACTAGGTTTTTAAAAATTACAAGCATCTTATTATTCAAAAGGCAAACAAAAAGTAATCTGGGGCAAGTATCGTTGGGTCATCCTGAAGTTACAACTTTCAGTTATATCCCAAGATGTAAGATAAATCATGGAGCCTATTATCTTAAGAAAGCTCAATCTACCTCTTGACTATAGTGATAATTTCAACCATACACAGCAGCTTAAAAGAGGCACTGACCAACTAACAATTCATAATTACCTGTCTGGTATTTAAACAAGTTGTAGAAAAAAAGTATGTCTAACCATATTCAAAAAGCTGTATAAGGGTGTTAAGGTTTTCTACAGCCATCAAAGTAAGGCATTTGACTTTTGAAACAACTTACAAGATCAGTGCAAACATAAATGACTCATGGAAGGCCATTTCAGAAGAAAATATGGATCAGGAGAAGGAATTAATCCTATCACTCCCTAAAAAGGAAACCTGAGTTACAAGACAGGAGGATGAAATGAAATAAGTGCCTCAATTGCCCAGATATTTAGAGTGCACTTTGAGAGCATTATAAGCACATCTGGTGGTAGGATGGGTCTATTATGGTATTGTTAGAATTCCAGCAGTATAGATATGTATAATTCCTGCTCCATCTCCTATAGAGTGTACTCACAATCCCTGCTCAGCCAGCAGTTAATAGTTTTCAGCTGGCAGGCCCCTATTATATTTTGAAAAGCCAGTTAGACTAAAAACTATCTTATATCCCTAGATATTTCTAACCTTGACAAGCGCATTCTTGGCTTTTTTGTACATCCAGATAAACCTGGAGAAGGTTCCATGCAGACTTTTTAATATCTCACTGTGGGATGAGGAGAGGAAGCAGCTGCAGTGGGGTATCAGAGGCGTGGCAAAATGGACATTTTAATGGAGTTGGTCCTGCCAAATATAGAAAGAGTAGGAGATCTTTCCACCTCGCAAGATCTTTTTGCATGGAGCTAATCAAAAGAGTAATGTTGCAGTTCTGCAGGCCAGCTAAGGTTACCGGAATAAACAGTCCAAACACGTAATGCTTCTGTTTGCCAACATAAACGGAAAATCCCACCTAGTCAGATTAAATTCTGCTGATGGCAATGAGAATTCTTCTTAACTTTAATTTCCAACATCCACCGAGAAGCCACCAATCATTTATAAAAGCCCTGAAGCCATTGATTTTGCATAGAAAAAGAACAAAACTTTGTCAAAACGAAGAGTGATTTTGCAACTGTGTTTGGCTCCTATGTATGTGGTACCAACACAGGATGAGTGACAAAGGAATAAGCTTTGTAATGCCTTTTTCTAACATAAAGAGAAGCAAGTAGCATTGTTATTTAAATGTATTTGGGCAATGTTGGTATAATACCATAACTCACACTGTAGCACTGCATTGTTATGACTATACAAGCAATGAATGAAGTTTTCCATTAGAAAAGTTTCCACAATGCCTCATCACCAGTGACTTCATTAAAATCCTTTTCAGCATTGCAGAGCTCAGGCAAAGCTAACCACTGCATTTTTCAGACTTGACTGATAAGGTAAGAGTAGCATCCCTTAGTCACCCGGGTGAGAAACCAGGGAGTTCAGTGTTCCTCAATCAGTTATTTGTTCTGAACCATCTCTGGAAGAGTAAATGTTTTCTCCATGCATCACAGAGCATGTCTAGTTTCCTACTCTAGGAAAACAGATTTCTAAGGTTAGCTGGTGAAATTACTCCCCTGTATACTTTCAAACAAAATAAAGCAATGGATTGATAGGAAAAGCTTGACCATCTAGGTCTGATTTATTGTGCTGTCACGTCTTCTCTGAAAGGTGGCTGCTCAGGCCAAGCTTCTGTGTGTTGAGCACTCTCTATACACACTGTAATAATGACCTTGTGTGGCTTGAAATCCTTTGGATTGTTTGTTTTATTTAAAGTAACACTCTCAATAAAATAAAACTCACTAATACTTTTATATTTGTCTTGAGCAATATAAATACCAGTAGTAAGAGTTACTGTGCTAACTCAGTTCTTAGGAAAGAATGCTCCTGACAAACTTAATTACAACTTGTGCATAATTTTGATTTGTACAATAATTCTTCTAAAAAAAGTACATGGCAAAACTTCAAACAGCATATTTACTTTTGCAGTATTGATTGAACTCAAACAAGCAATTCCATGTGCAAAGATCCAAGTGCCTCAAGCTGTTAGTTGTCAATGGGCCCTACACCTGCAGAGAAACCCCATGAGGTTCTGGGTGGGGAGAAACCTCTGTGTGTGTCAAGCAGCATATGTGATATAGACAGAAATATTAGCAGCTCAGACAGCTTCTTCTACAAAGTGAGTAAGGCTTTGCTGTCCCCTACTCTACCCTTTCTTAGACATGAGTTGAGAAAGATGCGGCTTCTTCTGTCTCCTGTTTAAGAAGATAGGAGCTTT